AATAAAAGTAGATAAAATTTTCCTTTCATCTTAACGCCATAGGGGCAAATTTTCAGTTGTTTTCGAGATGGTTGACCCCGTGACCCTTTTACCTCAAAATGAATGAATTTACTTTCTTTCTTTTCTTTTTTTTAAACCGTTTTCACTTTTTACTAGTTTTTTTTTTTTTTTTTTTTTTTTTTTTACGTTTCGTAAAATTTTACACAATAGAGGGAAAAAAAAATTTTTATTTTCATTTCATTTCCTTTTCCGATTTTCCAACGATTCGTAAAATTTTCCTTTTTCTTTTTTTTAAATCTTCATTAACTTTTTAAAACGATATCCATTCATATTAATAATATCATATTCCGGAAAATCGTTTCGTGCGAGTGGTGCCAAATTTGCAAAAAAAAAAGAAAAAAACTGTTAAAATTCGCAAAGACACGCGAGATTTCACGAGAAAATTAGTTTTTTCTTTCTCTCTCTCTCTCTCTCTCTCTCTCTCGTTATTCTTTTCTTATTTTTCTTTCTCGGTTATTTCCACGACATATTTCACACGATATTTTTTTTTCTTCCTTGAGAATTTTCTCAAAAATGGCGCGAGAAAAAAAATTTTTTTTTTTTTTGTTTTCATCAATCGTGTTGAAAAAAAATCGGAAAATTCAAATTAATCACCTTTTCTTTATTCTCAATAATAATAATAATAATCATAATAAACATGTAAATTTTTTCCACAGTTTTTACTCGGAAATAAAAACAAAAATTTCCTCCTTCCGGTTGAGGGAAAAAAAAAAAAAAATTTTACACGCGCCCACGTAAATCGTATTAAAGGAAAAAATAAAAATTCAAAGAACTGGAAAAATTCAAAAAAAAAAAAAAAAAAAAAAAAGAGGAAACACGCTGGAAAAGCAACAAGTCGAAAATGAAAAGAAATTGAATTGTCAGTCATTCATTCATTCATTCATTCATTCAAATAATACTCATAAAGAAATGAATGAAGAAAATGAAAATCCGTTACCTTTTTTTCCCTACCTAACCTTTTGTTTATTCCAAATTTTTTTTTTTTGAAAACCGGAAATTCGTTCATACGGATAACAATGATGATGATTTTCATTTTTTTTTTTTTTAGGGAGCCTTTTCCTTTTTGACAATATGTCACATCGTCCTTTTCCTCGTAAAAAAAAAACGTTTCTGGAAAAATTTTTTCTAAATGTTCGTTAACGTGAGTGGGACCAATGGCGGAGGACAAACAGTCAGTTCACCATCATCATCATCATTTTTTCAAAATGGCTTCCTGTCCCCACCACAGTTACCGACTTCCTTTTCCACAAAAAAAAAACCCCTTTTTTTTATACCAAAGTTTTAATTAATTTAAAACTACTTTTTAGATAACGAATCGTGATTTTAGAAAAAGGTTTGTTTTTTTTTTTCGAGTAACCTTTTGTACAACCCACGCACACACACAAAAAGGTTTGTTGCTCGACAAACAATTTAAATCAAACCCGTACTAACGTTTGTTAATTTCGTTACAAACAAAACCCAAACTTTGGCATTCTTCTTCTGCCACGTTACGTAAATAAATTATTATTTAGTATTAAGGTTATAAAGAAATCGATAAATATCGGTCGAGTTGTGTGTGTGAGCGAGAGTCTCTACCTAACCGCCCCCCCCTCCCAGCTCCTTATGAGTCCGTGTCGCGTCGAGTATATTTCGTATTTAAATATCCGGTACGAAAATTTTCACGGGGGTTGACGTGAAGGGGGCGGGTCGGGTCGGACTTGGGGGGGGGCAATATTTGAAAGGGTGACCGCAAAAAAAAAAAAAAAAACTACGCAACTAATAATTTTTTCGTTGGTGTAGTTTTTACCTTTTTTTTCCTTTTCGTTAAAACGCAAAAAAAAAAAGTGAAACTTATACTTTGAATCATCGATTACATAATTTTTTTTTTAACCACGTGACGTATATTTTTATTACGTCATCGTTTTTATTTTTATAGAAATTTTTTTTTTTAATAAAACGTGAAAAAAAAAAAAAAATCTTTCGACGAATAAAATAAAATTTTTTTTTTTTTTATTAAAATTTTCCGAAAAAAAAACGAAAAATTTGCTCTCGACAATATTAAAAAAAAAAAAAAAATTTGCTGCGGTTAATAATTTTGTTGATATACAAAAAAAAAAAAAAA